GGGCAGACAGGAGTGGGTGCAGCTCAAGGCCAGGGTGTTTTGTGGGTTTATTTCCCTACATCTGCAGGTTTTTAATTCTTTCATGCAGGGAGTGAAAAGCTTGTGCTGTAACATGGGAACTGCATGCTGCTCTGATCCCAGGGTCCCTCAGCAGCRGATCCAAGCTGTAGGGGCAGGAAAGCAGCACTTTCCATCCTGCTATAGGGAGAGCCAGGGTTTGGCATGCAGCTCGGGGTCCTGGGGATGCTCAGACTGGTGGAGGTGGGACTGGCTGGAGCTGCTGGAGCTGCTGGCTGAGCCCTGACAGGGGACAGGGGACAGCAAAGCCCCAACCCAGGCACCTCCCCAGGGACAATCAGCTCCTCTCTCCTGCCTGGACAAAGGTTTTTGCTGGCGTCTCTCAGGCAACAGCAAATTTGGGAAAAATCTGTATCATTTTTGCAGGGAAAGGGGGAAATCCAAGGCAGCCCCGTTGCTATGGTTGCACAGACCATCCTCGATGCAGCATCATGTCAAACAGCTCTGCGAGCAGATGTGCCACAGCTGGAAAGCAAAGTGATCCCCCAGGTGTGAGCATGGCCACACACAGTCCCTGTGCTCCCACAGCCTCCCGGGGATGTCTGGCTCTGTGTCCCTGCTCAGGACCCTCCCTGGCAGCAAAAATCCTCTCTGGTTTGTGGTCAGGACATCGATGAAGGTGTACAACCCTGGAAATTTACACACAGCAGGGGGTTATGGTCTCTCAGTGGTCAGGTTAACAAAGGGAAATAAATAATTTAGATTTTTCTTGATGAGTTCTCAAGAATTTGGTGGCATTGCTGTCCTTCCTCCCACCCTCCCTAGCTTGGAACCCTGACTGAACATCCTCAGGTGTCTCTGGGGGCTGTAGGGGAGCAGCAGAGGGGAGTGAGGAGCACGGTTCTGACAGTGAACCCTGCTGTAGGCGTTTAAAAACAATGCACTTGGAATATTTGTCACTCAAATGTTTGTGTGTCCATGTAAACTGCTGGGTAGCAGCTGCGAACACATCTGTCTGATGCTGAATGTTGGCTGAGCATGACAGCCATTTCTAAATCTTTCTTCACTAAGAAATTGTGGAATCATTGATTAAAGGAAGGGTTTTTTTGGCTTTGCTCAACGCAGCTTGGGCTGGGTTCACTGGGCACTCCTGGAGACAGAGGGCTCAGGCTCTGCCTCCTGCTACTGCCCAAGGCTCTCTGCTGTTTGCTGCAAAGTTTTTAGCACCCTCCCTAAAATGCACCTGCCAGCCTCACCAGAGGGCTGCAGAGAGGCCAGAGAAGGAGCAGGGAGTGTGCAGAGCCCAGGCTTGATGCAGAAACTGCCCAGCTGTGAACGCTGCTGCTGCTCCCTGGTTCTCCCCTGGCCCTGCCCTTTGTGCTGGGCACACACGATTTTGGATCTGTTCCCCTGATCCCCTGGGGTGCTCCTGGCCCTGTCCCCAGTGATGCCATTGACTCCAGTGCCAACCCTGGGCTGGTGGCTCTGGAGGTGACAGCTGGCATCTGCAGGGCTGGTGTCCCTCTGGTACCCAGAGGCAGCACCTTGAGAGCAGTGGGGTGGTTTTGCCTCTGGCCAGCTGTCCTGTGTCCCCTTTCCAGGCTGTGCTGGCCCCCAGGATGGGCTGGTGGCCAAGAGGATCCTGTCCAGCCCCAGCCCCATCTCCAGAAGTACAATGGCAGTGAGACCTTTCTGTCTGCACTGCTCARGGATGCGCCGGCTCCTGGCTCTGCCTGGCTGCCAGCCAGACCTCCCGAGGGCCCAGGGGGCTGYTTAAGCTCATTGCTTTCCTTTCAGAGGCTTCAGAAAGCCGCCTGCCCGCATTTAATTCAAATTTATTGAATGATTCTCCTGGGAACAACTCRTTGGAGACCCAGCACCGCAACAGGCCATCAGTGAGATCAGCTGGCACGGCCCGGAGCGCTCTGTCCCCGCGGGCACATCTCCATGGCAGTGCCAAGGTGATGATGGGCACAGGGCCGGGCACCTGGCCCAGGGCAGCCTTGGCTCAGCCTTGGCTCAGCTCTAAGCCTGGCTGCCTGTGCTGCCTCCAGCCCCAGGGGATGTTTTGAGGTCTGTTCCTATCCCTCCCACTTCCACCCCAAACCTGTTCCTGCCTCTGAGCCGCGATCCCTCGGGCAGCAGTCCCAGAACGGGGCTGGCTCAGCGCTCACCTGCCTCCAGAGCCTCTGCCAGCTCCGCAGAGATGATGAGATACACTAAATCTGCCTGTGGGGATGCACTGCTGGATGCACCCTGGCTGCGATGGGGTGCCTGCCCATCTTTGGGTGCTCTGTAGGGTTTGTAGGGTCAGGTTCACAGCTGGGTTTTTACATCCATGGAGCCACCAGAAGCTGGTTCTGCTGAACATGGGGGAAGCTTCTAGCAGCTTCTCACAGMAGCCACCCCTGTAACCCTCCTCCACCACCAAAACCTGGCCACACAAACCCCACACAGGTACAACCAYCCGAGGCCACCTGGGCAGGAGCGGGGACAAGCCAGAGCCAGGCTGGGAGGGCAGGGATGWGTSCCCAGCTCCAGCCAGCRGGCTGTGAGCGATGAGACCCGACAGACCCTGGGAGGTGGCTCCCCTGAGGGAGGCTGCTCTCTGGGAAAAGCAATTTACTCCGCGCTCGGCCCTAAACAGAGTTGTGGGCATGTCCCGTCCCTCCTTGTGGCAGCCTGGGGGCCGTTCCCAGGGACCGGGCTGGGGACACGCTGCCCTCATCCCTCGCTGCCCCGCAGCTCCTGGAGGGCAGCCCACCGTGTGCCCGCTATTACGCAATTAGGAGCAGGACTAATGACCTTCATTAGCGAGCGCGGCAGCGGTGGGTCAGGGCTCGCCGTGCCGCTCGGGGCAGGAGCAGTCATGCGGCAGGACTGAGTCACAGCTCTGCTGACCGTGCTGCGGGCACGGCCGCCTTCCCGTTAGCCCCGGGCACGGGCTGGGCTGCTCCGCGGCACGTACGGGACACCCATCCACCCATCCCCGGTGCTGAGGGATGGCTCAGCCTGTTTCCTGGAAGGTGTGGTGCCAGGCAATGTGCCAGAGCCTGGAAAGTGGCACCTGTGGCTGCAATTCATCCCGGAAAGGGCAGGATGCCCGGGAACCTTCCTTTCCTGGTGCACTGGCTGTGCTGCAGTGTGGGGCTGGGACACGCAGCCCCTCTCTCGTCTTCCTGGGGTCCCTTATTCCACCCACATCCCCCTTGTCATGCTCATAAGCTGCTGGCAGGCTGGAGCCACCACCTGGGAATTTACGGAGCCGCGGTGGGGCTCAGCAAGCCGTGGCCAGAGGCAAACGCCGATTTACAGCGCTTGCTCAGGCCCCCGAGCAGCAGGGAGCGATACCTGCAACAAAAGCCTGGGATTGCTGGACAATCCGGATTTTCCTGTGCTGGGTGCACAGCTGGCTCCGGGCAGAGCAGGGGTGCAATCCAGAGGGTGCCTGGTTGGGGAGGCAGGCAGGGGGCTCGGTGCTGAGCAGAGAGGAGCGTTGAGCAATGCCCCAATAAAAACCCCACATGTGTTTATTTCGGGCTGAATACAACCGAGATGTACAATGGGATCTGCCCTCGGCCGGGCTCGGGATTGCCCCCGGGCTAAAGAAGCGGCTGCCTTGGGGTTGTACTGCTCAGCATTAAAAATGGAATCCAAGCAGTGTGGAGGGTTTGGGTGATGCAGCAGAGCATCGCTTCCCGTGATGAGGCCGCGCCGGCTCTGCTGCCGCGCGGGAAAGCACGGAGGAGCGTTTTACAAACACAGCCGAGGAGCATTTTTCAAACTGAGCCTTTGGATGCTCCGCAGCGGTTTTGGGGCCGGTTGGTAACGTACGACAGACGCGGCGGGTGGGTGGGAGCAGACTGGAACAGGCACTCGCTGCTCCGGGCTTCCCCCCGGAGAGGCACTGTGCGCGCTCCGACTGCGCGGAAGGCGGCTGGAGCTGGCCCTGGGCAGCATGCGGGGAGCCCCAGGGGACCCCCACCCACGGGAGTGTCACCAGGAGGGGCCCCAGGGACCTCCCACCCACGGGGTACATTGGGGAGTACCCGAGGATGCCCTGCACTGACAGCGGTGCCCCGGGGACCGCCACCTCCAAGACTGTCCCGGAGGATCTGCGCTTAACAGGGACACCCTGGGGACCTCCTTCCTCAGAGCTGTGCTGGGGGACACTCGTCCTCAGGGCTGTCCCAGGAGCTGGAATACCCGGGAACAACCCTCCTCTGCAGGGGTACCCAGCGACCCGCTCTGCAGGGGACACACGAGGGGACCCCTGTCCTCAGGGACGCTACAGGGACCCTCTGCGGGGACCTGCCATTTCATGGCTCCCCTAAGGACACGCGTTGCTGAAGACACCCGGGGGGACCGCTCACCCCGGGGCTGCCCTATCCATCGGGGATGTTCCCCTCCATCGGGGACTCCCCGTCCGTGGGGGATGCCGGGGCTCCGTGCTGCGGTGGCAGGGTGGGACGGTGCGGCTCCGGGCGGGCGGAGGGGTCGCTGTTGCCGCCAGCACGGCCACCCCCCGCCTCCCCCCACTCCCTCCGCCGCCTTTTGTTCGCCGCCCGCGCTCGTCCCCGCCCGGCGGCGGCGGGCGGAGCCGG